GTTAAGAAACAAACGGTAAAGTTGTATTCTGTATTGTTAACAATGTTTATATAAAGTTATATCTAAACACAGGATTAATAACAATTAAAACTACAGTAATAAATACCGTTAAGTAATTGTTTGTTAAGAAACAAGCTGTAAAGCTGCATGTTTTATTATAAACAATGTTTATATAACAATTAAACAGGAACATCAATATCCAGATAAGTGCTTTCAAACAAAAAATATATTTAAAAGAAAAATGAAGTAAATAAAGATTTAAAAGAATGACAAAATATTCATGATACCTTGATCTTTCTTTGTCCAATAATAACCTGAACTTCATTTTCTCAGGATATTTCGGAGTGAAAAAGCTGGAAGAACAGGTTTTATCTTTTGGTGAAACTAGCCTGTTGCTTCGAGATCTCCATCCTGGTACAGAGTACACTGTAGAGATTCAGGCAGAGAACAGTATAGGGCTCAGTGAACCTTCTGACCCTGTTACATTTACTACACAGGAGGAAGGTAGGTGTCAGGTCTTCATCCTGGTACACAATACATTTTAGAGATTCAGGCAGAGAATAGTATAGGGCTCAGTGAAACTTCTGACCCTGTTACATTTACAACACAGGAGGAAGGTAGGTGTGTTATCTTCATCCTGGTACACAATATACTGTATAGATTCAGACAGACAACAGTATAGGACTCAGTGAACCTTCTGACCCTGTTTTATTACGCTATTGGATATATCTACGTGTAGCTGGGTGAGAATTGTATAAAGTACGACTTTAGAAAGAAGTGTTTAGATTCATGTAATTAATAGATGGAATTTTAATATATATAGAAACACGTTTTTTGTATCTATCATTAAATATATCAATATTGTCTTTAACTGAGTGAAAAAACAACAACAAATATCACCGGTATCTTATCCAGTATACAAACTGTTCTAGTCAGTCACTAAGATCGTGATAAGAAACTAGTATGTAACATATAATAATTTAAATTAACGTTCAGATTATCGTAATAAATAAATGTTATAATTTATTAAAATACAAATACTCTTAATGATAGTTGTATCTTCAGTTGTTTAGAGTAAGAAATTCTTCATTTATTCACGAATTA